CGCCATCCTGGTGACGATTCTGGGGGGTCCATCCATCGGGTTTCTTATAGCACAAAAACCAGGGGTGCCCTTCCTTCTCACAATACCAGCAACTCCCTTTCATTTTGCCACCAGCACCCGACTTGCCCCCACGTCCAGATTTCGCACCGCGACCCCAACCGGTACCTCCTTGTTGGTCGTTGGAGTCGTCGTCTTTCTTTGCACCGCGTCCAGCACCACCGAAGCCACGTCCTCTGCCACGTCGGCTCCCTTGCATCCCGTAGCCGCTGCTGCCGTCGTCTCCACCCCTCAGTTGGCGGCGACGGAAGTCCTCCTCCAGAATCTTCGTCCGCACCCACTCGAGCGTCCACAAGCTCTGGTTCTGCGGCAGGCTCAATCCGCTCGTAAATTGAAGCCACGATTCTGGCAGCAGCGAGAGCATCTTCAAGCACTTGGTCTGCTCCGGGTAGGTGATTCCCGCGGTCGCCAACTTCGCGTAGAGGTCGCGCATCTTGTCCAGGACTGGTTGCACCGGCTCTCCCTCGCTCAGGCGCAACGCGGACAGCTCCCTCTCCAGCATCAACGTTGCGACAACGGAGGTCGGGGCGTGCAGCTCCTTCAACACGGTCCACGCCTTCGGACCGCATTCAACCTCCGGCAGCAGGTGCATGACGTGGTGACGCTGGTTCAGCTCCAAACTCTGCGACATCAAATAGTAGCCAGCCGAGGAGCGCTCGTCCCAATCTTCCTGCAGCGTGGGGTCACTCGGTCTAGGCTCCTCCCCAATCATTAGTTTCAGCAAACCGATCTGACGGAAATATAATTGCATTTTCCAGGCCCAATCATCATAGCCCTCACCATTGAACTTCTCGACGGTGAAATTCTTCAGCACCTCCTTAACAAGCGAGCCCTGGTTTGTTCGCGCTCCCCTTGGCGCTGAAAGACCAGAATCTTGGCTGCCGCTACGATCTTGGGCTGAAGATTCACCAGCTCCCGCCGAGGTGTTGCCCGCCATAGCTACCTATAACGAGGATCACTATAACGCAGCTCTGATACCAGCTTGTTGGTGTAAGGGCCTAATAAACTCAAGCTATTAGGACTTAATCAAACTTAAAACCTCTCCTCGGGGTCACCTCCAAGGGTCCCTGGGTGCCTGGTACAAGACCAGCCCCTATCCTCGGGTCCGAGTTTGTAGAGAGAGGGATCAAGAAGGACTTAGTCAAAACAGCAAGAGTACCTTGAACGTCGCGCAGCGTGCCGTGCAGACCGTCGGTCGGATTAAGCTGAGAATTCGCTATATCGAAGCTCGCTCCAAGAGCTTTAAAATGAGCCAAGTTGCCTCGCGAAAAGTTCTGCCATTACTAAGTTATGGCTCGGACAGCGTTTGCCTAGCGTTGGAGTGCTAGCATACTAGCGTTGACTCGGGTAGCATTCCGCCGTCGAATAGCGCAGAAACGAAATTCCAGCGAGGAAGGAATTCGCTTGAATCAATTTGACTATATATTCAGGTACAAACAGAGAAGGATTAAATAGTTCTAGCTAGCAAGGACCTTGGGAATCAACCTGGGAACAACCAGGGATGATCCCAAATAATTCCAAGCAACAGAACCAACCTGGCTGGACAAAATAGCAGGTGGTAGGTTGGTAAACAACCTCTGGTTCTGTTTTTCCAACCTGGGAAAACAACAACCAGGTTCAGGTTCTAAAAACAGAACCTGTTTTGTCTTTGCCCAACCAGCCAAATGCTGGTTCCGCTGGTTTCCCCTGGCCTTGTAGCATGCAGATACAGACAAACAACATCCAACCTTCACCTAAATTGTACCCCTATAGTGCCTTCCCTGCTACACTATAGTTAACCAAACAAAACAGTACAATTTCGAGTTGGATAGAACTGAATCTGCGCAATCAACTCAACCGAACTGCAAAGCTTCCATCTTGGGTTCCTTTGCGAGCTCGTCCTTTCTGCGTGCACTGTTCATAGCGCGTACAATGTTGTGCCGAAGCGCACATTGCGCGAGTACCTGCAAATGCATCAAGCGAAAAATGCGAAAGCAAACAAACACACGAACACACCATTCACACACAAATGCATTCGCACACGCATACTCGTACAAACAGACGGCAGGATGTCGTGCAATGTGCATTTGCACCCAACAGGTAGCGCACCATGCGCTTTGCCACCTCCAACTGCTCCTCAGTGGGCCATTGCACAACTCTAGCCAGCTGCCCCGCCCCGAATGAAGCATCAGGGCGCGTATGCACAGCAGCATAAATCACACTCCTAATGAGTGACTGGTACTCATTCTGCTGCTCATCCTCGAGCACATCATCCTCCTCAGCTGCCTCCTTTAGTTTGAAGCGTGGAGGGAACGGTGTAATCACAGTGCGACACGTAGTCACACCATAGTGCTCCATGACACCAGATATGTGGTATGACTGATGCACCTTCAGCCACCTCCTCTCAACATCCCTCTCAATCTGCAGCCCCAAGTAGTAGTGGACATCCCATAGAATCTTGCACTTGAAGTTGTCCATCAACAACTTTTGAGTCCTCTCAATCTGGTCCATGGAAATTGAGAACAGCAGTATGTCGTCGACATACACCAGCAGCAATAGCAGTTGCTCCCCCTCTCCAAGCAAAAACAAGCAGTCACCCGCTTAGGACGTCTTGAAGCCTCCACTCAGCAGCACCTCCTCCAGCTTCTCGTACCAGCACCTGGGCGCTTGCTTAAGGCCATAGGAAGCCTTCTTGAGCTTGCACACCCGGCTGGTCCCATCCTCATAGCCGTCGGGCTGCGCCATGTAGATATCCTCTACACTGGTCAGCTCTGACCCATGGAGGTCGTCAAGGTGCAGCCGAACCTACTCCACTGCAGACCGCTCAATCTCCAGCAGACACAAGCCAATCTGCACCTGCTGCTGCTGCTGCCAGTCCTTGTACATGACGTCCTCCACAAACTTGACGTCACGGCTGACCAGCGTCTTCTTGCTCTTGGGGTCCCACATCAGCCACCCCTTCAAGTCAGAAGCCATCCCAAGATGGGTAGCCTACGCAGCAGCAACTTCCTGCTTGTGCCTCTGCTCCTTAGGCACCATCACAAGCCCCATGCAGCCCCACACCCGCAGCATATCAATGGATGGCTTCTTCCCAAGCCAACGCTCATATGGCACCCAGTGCTTGTCTTGACCGTGATGACATGGCAAACAGCTTCAGGCCAAAACTTGTAGGGCATTCCAGCAGCCCCTAACAAAGTCTTAGCCGCCTTGCCAATGGTCCGATTGGCACGCTCAGCAATGCCGTTCTGCTGCGGTGTTCCTGGGCAGGTCAGCTGGTGTCGGATGCCGTTCCTCTTGAGAAACTTGGTGAATTCCGCTCCAAGGAACTCTCCACCACGGTCACTCCTCAGCACCTTCACCAGCCGCATCGCTTGCCGCTCCACCATCGGCAACCAATCCTCCTTGATCGCCGCTGCAGCATCACTTTTCTTTTACAAGGGACATGCCCACGTGAACCGGCTCTATTCGTCCACCATGGTGAAAAAGTACAGTAATCCCCCAGTCCCCTCCGTCCTCATAGGACCCACCAGGTCCATGTGCACCACCTCCAAGGGTGCCTTCGCCGATCCCTCCGCACGTGGAAACGGGAACCGCGCAAACTTGTTTTGCATGCACGCCTCGCAGCTGCCAAATGAAGCGCCAACTCCTTGCAGTTGCAGGCCGTGCACGCACTTCTCCTTGTGCATCACCTCCAATGTAGAAACAGCCACGTGTGCGAGCCGCCGATGCCAAGTCTCCCAATTCCCTTGGCCCGAGGTAGCCAACGCCTTCACTGCCGCACTTCCTCCAATCAGCTCCTCTCCTTCCACGCCTTGCTGCTCCTCTTCGGTGACGCTCTCTTCCATAGATGCCGCGGCTTCTGCCTTGTCCGATTTCCGCCAAAGGAGGACCGGGATCTGCCACATGTGCTTGTGGACATCACCCTTCCGCTGCAGGTCCCAAATCAGCCACTCCTTGTTGTATGCACGGTAGTGTTCCGAGCCAATCGTCTCGGTGTTCACACCCGCATCTCCCAACCGGCCGGTAGAAATCAGGTTCGCACAACTCCGGCACCCATCCGCTCCCATGAACTTGGTGCATCCCATGCCTATGACCTTGGCCTTGGTGCCCGTTGCGGATGTGACCACAGAGATAGATGGGGGCTGAATCTCGTCAAGTAGGTCCGCACGAGAATTCATGTGCCATGAGCTTCCCGAGTCAATCACCCAATGGGTGAGGGGATGAAGGAGAACCTTGGCAGCCATGGTGGGGTCGGTTGCGCCTTCATTCACGAAGAAGAAGAACCCGGCCTTCCGCTCTACAAATTTGCCACCCTAGTCTTCATCCCTCTCCTCTTCACTAGCTCCCATGAATCCCCCACTCCGCGTGCCACCACGCTGGTTGCTTGATGAAGGCGGGGTCCAATCCTTGGGTCGTTGGTAGCACTTTCTTCAACGATGCCCGCGCTTCTTGCAGTAGAAGCACACCTCCCGCCGCTATCCTCCTTAGGGTTGTCCTTGTTCTTGCCCTTCCACTTCTTCTTGAAGCCACTCTTTCCACCTCCAACTCCATAGCCAGCCCTTTCCTTCGAGTGCTCCACACTCCGTCGCCGCAAGTCCTCCAGAATGCGCGCCCGGATGTGATCCACACTCCATTGAGGCTGTTGGGAGTTGAGGTTGATGGCAAGGGCAGACCACGGCTCCTGCAGCCGTATCACGATCTCCACGCATTGCACGAGCTCCGGGTACACCACACCGCCGCCTTGGAGCTTCGTGAAGATGTCGCGCATCTCGTCCAACACCGGTTGCATTGGCTTTCCATCAGCGAACTTGATGTCGCGCAGCCGCCGCGCGAGTAGCACGATGCCGGTAGCGTGTGTCGGTGAGTGCACATCCAGAAGCTTCCTCCAAGCCTTGGGGCCACACTCTGGATCACCCAAGAGGTCTTTGATGTGGTCAAGTTGTCGTCCGCCAACCGCTTGCACCATGAGCATGTACGCGTCGAACGAGCACTTCATCCATGCTCTTTTCAGCTCTGCGGCCTCTGACAAATTTTCCTTCCCCTCCACCAGATCCAATAGCTTGTATTGGGTGTACATCAGCCTCATGTGGGAGCTCCAGTGCTCGTAGTCCTCCCCCATGAACTTCTCAATAGGGAACGCCTTTACAGGATCCACGGTTGTTGGAGATGGTATAGAAGATGACGGTAGAATAGAGTTGGATGGTTGGTGAGTCCCCACTCCACCACCAGCAACTCCCCCTTGCTCTCCAGCCTCTCTACCTCTAGCCATCTCGCCATTAGCACCTCCGGAATCCGTTCCAGTCATATTGAGGCCTTATGAACGGTGGAAACTTGAGAAATCGTTTGGAGAGAATTCTGCTATAAATTTTGATTATTGAAAATCGTCGTCGCGGACTGGGTACTTTGAATTAGAATGCGTTTCGACCACCAATCGAAATTTCGCGAGTAGAGCTACTGGAAAATGGTCACACTCGTCAGCATTGGTTGAGAATTCGCGACGATTCGTCATCTCAAAGTCGACTACCCGCTCTGATACCACTTGTTGTTCATGATTCGTCAATTTGAGTTCTTCCGACGAATTCTTAATTAAACGCAAATCCGCTATGTAGGATTACACGCCTTAGGCTTAGCTACCATCTCCAATTCGAATTCCTTACAAAGATGGTCTATAGAGTGAGAAACAATTGAAAACGTCTAGCAACTGCATAATGACATATGCTTATGCAAATCATGCAAGCACAAATGGTACGAGCACTCGGCAGGACGTTAGGATGACATGCACTCAGAATGATATGCATCCAACAAGAGAGAGAGAGAGAGAGAGAGAGTGAGAGAGAGAGAGAGAGAGAGAGAGATGAGAGAGAGAGAGAGAGAGAGAGAGAGAGAGAGGCAGTCGCCGAGCGGACACCACCGAGAGTTGTAGTTCCTCGGGCGACCTCCGTGCAACTTACCATTCACCCCCTCGCTCACCTCTTGTCTGGAACTCTAATGGTTTGGGCTCGACGGAGGGAACGAGCCGACAACTTCACTGTGCAACACATACGGACCTCTCTCTCCCCAGATCCATTTGATCGATTCATTTGTTGGGTGCAAATGCACATTGCACGACATCCTGCCGTCTGTTTGTACGAGTATGCGTATGCATTTGCGTGTGAATGGTGTGTTCGTGTGTTTGTTTGCTTTCGCATTTTTCGCTTGATGCATTTGCAGGTACTCGCGCAATGTGCGCTTCGGCACAACATTGTACGCGCTATGAACAGTGCAAGCAGAAAGGACGAGCTCGCAAAAGAACCCAAGATGGAAGCTTTGCAGTTCGGTTGAGTTGATTGCGCAGATTCAGTTCTATCCAACTCGAAATTTACTGTTTTGTTGGTTAACTATAGTGTAGCAGGGAAGGCACTATAGGGGTACAATTTAGGTGAAGGTTGGATGTTGTTTGTCTGTATCTGCATGCTACAAGGCCAGGGGAAACCAGCGGAACCAGCATTTGGCTGGTTGGGCAAAGACAAAACAGGTTCTGTTTTTAGAACCTGAACCTGGTTGTTTTTTTCCCAGGTTGGAAAAAACAGAACCAGAGGTTGTTTACCAACTTACCACCTGCTATTTTGTCCAGCCAGGTTGGTTCTGTTGCTTGGAATTATTTGGGATCATCCCTGGTTGTTCCCAGGTTGATTCCAAAGTCCTTGCTAGCTAGAACTATTTAAATCCTTGCTAGCTAGAACTATTTAATCCTTCTCTGTTTGTACCTGAATATAGTCAATTAATTCATGCAAATTCCTTCCTCGCTGGAATTTCGTTTTACTACGCGGTTCGTTGGCGGAATGCTACCCGAGTCAACGCTAGTACGCTAGCACTCTAATGCTAGGCAAACACCGTCTGAGCCATAACTTCGTAATGGCAGAACTTTTCGCGAGGCAACTTGGCTCATTTTAAAGCTCTTGGAGCGAGCTTGATATAGCGAATTCTCAGCTTAATCCGATCGACGGTCTGCACGGCACGCTGCGCGACGTTCAAGGTGCTCTTGCTGTTTTGACTAAGTCCTTCTTGATCCCTCTCTCTACAAATTCGGACCCGAGGATAGGGGCTGGTCTTGTACCAGGCACCCAGGGACCCTTGGAGGTGACCCCGAGGAGAGGTTTTAAGTTTGATTAAGTCCTAATAGCTTGAGTTTATTAGGCCCTTACACCAACAAGCTGGTATCAGAGCTGCGTTATAGTGATCCTCGTTATAGGTAGCTATGGCGGGCAACACCTCGGCGGGAGCTGGTGAATCTTCAGCCCAAGATCGTAGCGGCAGCCAAGATTCTGGTCTTTCAGCGCCAAGGGGAGCGCGAACAAACCAGGGCTCGCTTGTCAAGGAGGTGCTGAAGAATTTCACCGTCGAGAAGTTCAATGGTGAGGGCTATGATGATTGGGCCTGGAAAATGCAATTATATTTCCGTCAGATCGGTTTGCTGAAACTAATGATTGGGGAGGAGCCTAGACCGAGTGACCCCACGCTGCAGGAAGATTGGGACGAGCGCTCCTCGGCTGGCTACTATTTGATGTCGCAGAGTTTGGAGCTGAACCAGCGTCACCACGTCATGCACCTGCTGCCGGAGGTTGAATGCGGTCCGAAGGCGTGGACCGTGTTGAAGGAGCTGCACGCCCCGACCTCCGTTGTCGCAACGTTGATGCTGGAGAGGGAGCTGTCCGCGTTGCGCCTGAGCGAGGGAGAGCCGGTGCAACCAGTCCTGGACAAGATGCGCGACCTCTACGCGAAGTTGGCGACCGCGGGAATCACCTACCCGGAGCAGACCAAGTGCTTGAAGATGCTCTCGCTGCTGCCAGAATCGTGGCTTCAATTTACGAGCGGATTGAGCCTGCCGCAGAACCAGAGCTTGTGGACGCTCGAGTGGGTGCGGACGAAGATTCTGGAGGAGGACTTCCGTCGCCGCCAACTGAGGGGTGGAGACGACGGCAGCAGCGGCTACGGGATGCAAGGGAGCCGACGTGGCAGAGGACGTGGCTTCGGTGGTGCTGGACGCGGTGCAAAGAAAGACGACGACTCCAACGACCAACAAGGAGGTACCGGTTGGGGTCGCGGTGCGAAATCTGGACGTGGGGGCAAGTCGGGTGCTGGTGGCAAAATGAAAGGGAGTTGCTGGTATTGTGAGAAGGAAGGGCACCCCTGGTTTTTGTGCTATAAGAAACCCGATGGATGGACCCCCCAGAATCGTCACCAGGATGGCGGCGCGCGGAGGAACCAGAAAAACGGCGCCAACATGGTCGCTGATTCGTCCGACAACAACCCGAAGGGCAACGGCGGTGCGGAGAAGAAGAAGGAGCGCACCGCGGGCCAATTCTTCCATGTGGGAGACAAGGGGGAGCAAGGAGACGCCTCTGCCAAAGTTGGAGCAGAGCTGCACCCCCTAGACTATTGGGTGTTGGACACAGGCGCTGCTTGGACGATGACGCCGCGCAAGGACCTGCTGGACGAAATACGAGCTGCACCGATCAATGAAGTGTGCTCCGCCTCTGGACACATGTTGAAGGTGGCTGGTGCGGGACGAGCTGCGTTTAAGGGAGCGGATGGCAAGCCGGTGGTGCTGCACGACGTTCTCTTCGTCCCCGACCTGAAGGCCAACCTTATCTCCCTCCGTAAGCTTGGCAAGGCGGGGGGGGTGAACACCAAACACGGATGGGGCACGCACTTATAAGGGGAAGCTGGGCAATCGGGTGCTTTGGGATCTGCACGAGAGCAAGGACGTGTACAGATCTATGTGGCAGCTGCCGGCCCTGGCGTGGCATGGTGGGGGGCAGGCTGGAGAGGGGTCTGCATCCCAGGGGGAGTGCAATGCCGTTGGAGGGGTTGGTGTGAAAGTGTCGGCCAGATCTGGGGAGACAGATTGGGCAACGGCACACCGGCGTTTTAGGGCATGTGGCAATGCCTTTGCTGAAGCAGCTGGAGAAGGATGGAGCCGTTAAGGGTCTGAAGCTGAACGGACAGCCACCCGATGACAACTGTGAAATCTGTTTGCTTTCAAAGTTCACCTGTTTCCCTTTCCATAGTGTGGCTGGCAGGAGCAAGAAGCCTTTGGAGCTGGTCCACATGGACTTGGTGGGGCCGCTGCCGGTGCAAGGGCACAAGGGGGAGTGGTATTTTTCTTACAATTGTGGATGACTGGAGCAGGCTGATGTGGGCGTATCCGCTGAAACAGAAGGACCACGCCACCTCCACGATACGGGACGATTGGCTGCCATTCGTGGAGAAGCAGGCGGAGTGTTGTAGTGTGAAGCGGATTAGGACAGACCGGGGTGGTGAGTTCCTTGGAGCTGAAATGACGGCCTGGCTCAAGAAGCAGGGCATCCAGAGAGAGCTGACCACGGCTTATACCCCACAGTCCAATGGTGTAGCAGAACGGGCAAACCGGACCATTCTGGAGACAGCTAGGGCGCTGCTCATAGAATCTGGGCTGAGCAATTCTATGTGGCCTCATGCTGTCCGGCACGCCACTGTCGCTAGGAACAGGGTGCTCACCAAGGTTGGGGATGACTCGTGGGTGCCTTTGGAGAGGTGGCTTGGGAGGAAGCTGCCGGTGGACATGCTGAGGGTGTTCGGTTGCATGGCAGTCGCCCACGTCCCTAAGACCTACGCGAGTAAGTTTGGGGCGAGTGCAATCTGGTGTTTGCATTTGGGGCTGGCTGCTGAGAGCAAGGGATGGCTGCTGTGGGAACCATCCAAGGGTGTGTTGTTTGACAGCAGGGATGTGAAATTCATTGAGGGCATGATGTATGGGAGCTGGGAGAAACAGCCGGAGGCAAGGGTGTCCCAGCAGATGGAGCAGATCACCATGCAGCTGGACCTGACTCCTAGTGTGTGGGAGGAGGGAGAGGAGGCAGCTGCTGGAAATGGTGATGGAGAGAAGGTACAGGAGGCATCTGCTGGTGGAGAAAATGGTGTGGAAACTGGCGGCAGCACTAGTGGAGCTGCTGGACCCGAGGGAGGAGAGAAGCAGCAGGGAAAAACTAAGAAGCCGAAGAGTGTCGTTATGAAGGGATGGGAGACACCCGTCTCTAGGCCAGGACGTACCCGTATGGCTACTAAGAAGCTGACTGCAGGAACTGATGCAGCAGAGCAGCAGCTAGGGACGCGAAGGCATTGCTGATTCTACCTCATGGCTATGACCCGGATGAGGAGGATGAGCCTGCGTACTGTTTTCTTGCCCCTGCACCAGAGGAACCAGCTAGCATGGAGGAGGCATTAGCTGGACCAGATATGGACAAGTGGCTGGCTTCTAGGGATGCAGAGTACCAGAGTCTGCTGGAGAATAGGACATGGGATCTGGTGGTGCTGCCTGATGGGAAGAAAGCGATACAATGCAAGTGGGTGCTGAGGATCAAGACCGATGACAAGGGGCAGGTCACCATCTACAAGAGTAGGCTGGTGGCGAAGGGGTTTATGCAGAAGGAGAAGCAGGACTTCAACGAGATCTTTGCTCCCACTACCAAACCCCCTACCCTCCGTGTCTTGTTGGCAGATGCAGCTGTTAGTGGGAAATTCATCATTCAGATGGATATTTCAACGGCATTCCTGAATGGGATTTTAGAGGAGGATGTGTATATGACGCAGCCGCCTGGGTATGAGGATGGTACGGGCAGGGTGTGCAAGCTCAACAAGTCCATCTACGGCTTGAAGCAGGCGCCACGCTGCTGGTACCAGAAGTTGGCAGCTGTTAGCTTGTTTTAGAGGAGATGGGATTCAGGACCAGCAGCTGTGATGAGAGCCTCTTTCTCAAGGGCGAGGGGGAGAAGCTGGTGCTGTTTCTGGTCTACGTGGACGACATTCGTCTCTCAGCAGCAGCAGAAGAGATCCAGAGGAGAAGAATCCGAAAGTGCAGCAGCAACTGATGGAGAACTTCAAGTGCAAGAACCTTGGGGAGGTAAAGTACTACCTCGGGATGCACGTGGAGAGGGATCCTGATCACAGGTGGTTGAAGCTGCACCAGGAGAAGTTCATCAAGGAGCTGGGGGAGAAGTATGGGATTGAGAATGAGCGCAAGGTTGCAACTCCCCTGCCAGCAGAATTCAAGCTTGTGAAGGCTGCAGAGGATGAAGGGGTTGAAGCCGAGGAGCAGCAGCAATTTCAGTCCTTGGTGGGCAGCCTCTTGTACGCAGCAGTTCACACGAGGCCCGACATCTCTTTCTCGGTTGGGCAGCTGGCTAGGGTGGTGCAGAATCCATCAGAGGAGCAGGTGGATGCAGCTGAGCGTGTGGTGAAGTACCTGAACTCTCACCCAAGCATTGGAGTGTTATACTCCGCATCTGCACAGTTGAAGCAGA